GTTCAGAGGGCCGTTCAGGAAAAATTAAACATGGTTCTGTGGTTCCCGCATCTGCCCCTATATCATGCAAAAGACCGTTTTCAAAAAGCTCGTCACGCCCTGAAAGACCTTCCTGGTCAGCGTCGGTTTTGGAAGGCCTTGTCTGGCGGCTGCCATATCGTCTCACACTCACGATCAGATACCATAAAAGCAATCGGGGTAGTGAGGGCGGTAATAGGGATCGTATGGGGGACCCATCCAAGGCTGCTGGTGGTGGAGGTCGTTCAGGACCCCTTCGAGGCTTTGGCGTGGGGCCGCGAAAATTTCGATATCGTGACAAGTGCTGTTGACCCTACACTCCAGCATGTCACCCCACCCGATTTGGCTCAGCCATCCTTTATATGCTTCGAAAGTGAAGCACACTCACGGACGTGGGCAGGCTCCTGTGAGCAGCGCTGCCCCGTTTCGACTTTTTGGATCCCTCTAAGGCCGATTTCAGGCATTGCGAATCGCTGAACGGCCCACAAACCGATCACTCCCATACTGTTTATACGCAGTCTCCTTCTGTTTTGACGTTGCTCTACTCAAGCAGCTAAAGCTCTCTCATTTTAATGAACCCGTCAGCCCTACCCTATCGGCTTTGTGATTTTACCACTAACAGTGTTTGTGAAAATGCCTTTTCCAACACCGCTTTGGATTTCAAAACTGCAACAATACACCCGTGTGGCACAGCCCTTGAAGTATCACTTGCACTTGAGTACAAGGGTGCTCAGAAGTCCGCCAGTCAACAACTTAGAGGAGCTTGTTAAGCACGTGTCCGAGAAGGCTCCACATTCAAGTGGCACAGTAAGCGAGTGAGAACACCAAATTACCCCGACATCAGTGCAACCCTACTCCAGCACTCTATGAACAGATTTACCACGACTCACCCCACAAGGCTGTGTACAGTATGGGCATCGTCGGAAGCAACGGAGCGCTCTCGAAAAGACATCGCCACTGGCCGGTCGCGAACCTTCAACATAAATTGCGCTAGTCCGACGATTCGCGGATTTTAGTGCATTCACACTCACGAACACATTCGGCTCCAACGGCATCGTCCTTCGGAAGGAGTCCACACTATTCCCGCGACGTCGGCTGTCCACCTCCGACATGTCCGACTTACGATCGGGAGATGTGGCGCGGGAACTGAACAATCGGCTGAATAATGGACCTTAAAATTCACCAGTGGTAGAGATATAGCGCAAGGCTCACAATAGACTCGAGCTGTCCGTGGGTAGTTTGGCGCCAAGAGATGCCGCTATCACCTCAGCCGCATGGCGCGGATTCCATTCGGATCGACTCTTGAGATGGACCTCCTCTCCTGAGAGTTATCCTTCGAACAAATATTGGCAGCAAAATGGAATTCGAATGAAATTCACCTCATAAGACTCTTCGCGGGGTAACTGCAGCAGCTCCGATACAGTATCAACTACCTGCATCATTCTGAAAAATTGGAGAATAGTGGCTGGACAAATTACGAATGCAATATGTACACGTTTTCGCTGAACTCCCCGAGTGAATCAATAATAAGTTCATATAAGTTATTGATACCCGCGTATACTATTCGATAATGCCGCACGCTACGATTTTGCTACATCGACCGAATCAAATCGAATGAGGAGAAACTCACCATATTCACGCTCCCGCATCTGCAAATTTCGATCAAGTAAGCCCCATCAAGGGACATATCTTCCAGATTCCCTGGGAGGCTGTCCAGACCAGCCCTCAATACAACGCTAGCATGCACCCGCAACCGAGTGTGAATATCATCTGTGAGACCTCAGCCATCGATCTTTTCATCTCTACGGCCTGTGCCAGACTTTGCGAATCCAGGGAATCGCGGGGCATGAGCGCCACTCGACAAGAGTCAACAGGTGCATGTGTGGGACTTTCCCACACTGTCGAATCACTTGGTGCGGTGCAGTGGTGGGGGTGGGGGAGGTAATTTGCCTTATTATAATAACTTGAAAAGACCCCCTGTACCGTCGCAACCAACCCCTCAACTTCCCAACAAGTAGACCGCATCCTTTCCATGATTTTTGACCTTCAGCCAGTCCTGAATAGACCGCTCATCGTTTATCAACTGTGGCAACCCACGCTTTGATCACATCAAAAAGCTAGTTTTTTTTCTTTTGAATACTATGCGCTGTGAGTCTTTATGGGAATGCCGTCAGAGCACTAGAAGTTCACCAAAGTGCCATTGATTACAATAGTTTTGATAATAAGGAATAACGTCAGAAGTGTCTGTTGGATGAAAGGCCTCTGCTTAGTTCGCCTGTGTTTTCGCAGCGTTCACGCAGGTATTTGAATGAAATTACATAGGTAAAAGCATAGGAAGAGGCAAAAAGAGGATGCTTAACCCTGGGCCCTGATGTCTGCGAACATTAGCCTTTCATCTGACGATGAGTGTGATGTATGTCACCTCAACTGGTATTAAATGGTAAGTGCTAGATGTTGTCACAACGAGCGCCTTCGCTCCCTTTATAATCCGCGACCTTGGCGTTTACAACGCCAGATGAAGAGCTTAGTTGAAAAACGAAATGTTTATGGCTGCATTAAGATTCGCCAAAAAGCCGCGATACATAGTTTATTCCATTCCATCGAGTTCTTCCCAATCTAGGAAAGTTGAGGGAGGGAGGGGAGGGGGCACCGTTTCCGCACCTGACCATCACATAAGACAGGTACCACGATAAAACGATGTCGGAGAACGAAAAGGTCGACTGTAAGCGGAGGCAAGGGCCTAAAGGGAAATGAAACGTGACTCTCGCGAAAGGGCTCACCGACGCAACGGGGGCTTGTCCGTCCCTCTTGAACGCTTTCGGGCCACTGCCCGCTCTCCGATTGGCTATTTCGGCAGCCATTCCCTCGATAGCAAACTCAAACTCTTCTTGCAGATGGACAGAGCAAGGCATTCGACTTACTGATGACGTCACCTAACGGTGAAATCTCGTCCAGCTCGGTAATCTGCATTTCACAGACAGAGCCTAGTTTGACGGGTTTCCGATCGTTCCCTTCGGTTTTTGCTCCGATGGTGGACATCTTAGCACCCCCAACAAACATTTTTAAGGGGCGACCAGAATATCGTAACATGTGCCTTTAAGTCCGCGCAACCCGACAAACGAAGGTAGAATTCAGGGGAATTGCCAGTTGACGTTTCAAAATCATATTTTCGAATAACGTCCCCTAATTAAACTCAAGACACTTGTTTACCACTTTTCCCTAATATTCAGGAATAGCCCAGTAAACAACTAAATAAAAACATTTTCACCACTTTGGAGAAAAATCGCCTCTGCTCACTATCGTGCAATCGGAATGGAAGGCCTTGCCTACCTTAGCCTTAAAGGCAGTGACCACGACGGTCGGAGGGCGGTGCGGTTTTGATGACGTCATTGATCGTCGTTATTGGATTAGACCCCTCAGCGAACTGGGGTGTGGTTAGGTCCCTTAACGTCTTGACGCTCTTCTACCAACTGCAAACCCACCAAGTGGCGTACAATGATGTCGTAGAAACCGCCCAGCTCTTCAGCCATCGCGATCATTCCCTCAGAAACAGGAGAAAGGTCCGATTAAGGGGTGACCTCCGGCTTGGGATGTTTCCAGGTTGATTCCCTCGCGACTGTCGCGAATCACTGGGCGGTGCTAAGTGTAAGTGGCTCGTGTATCACTCAATGACAAACTTTGTGATAACAAAAACAACACGTTGGCAAACGCCTGTCGCAGCGCTGCGTGATACTTCTGGCAATTGTTTGGTTTTCTGTTCGGTCCTCCGCCGGAAAAAAAGTCATCTCACTCTTCACAGATCGCTCTGTGTAGTGTTTACACTAGGTATTCACGAAGCTCCATTACTATTCTGACATAACCCAGCTCCTCGCCTTCGTTTTTTGAACCGCTCCCATCGCACGTATGCCTTCGGAACGAGACTTCCGGCATCTGAAGACCTATAGGGGAGCTTCAGGAGCTCAGCTCTGGGCCAATCTCTTCTTGATCATCTCATTGGATTCCTACTATGTCACCTGGCACCTCGATATCGATCCCACAAAACCCTTGTATTTCTCGCTCTAGACTCTAGCGGGAACTAATACCGTACAAGTTATCAGGGGCCGGGTACAGCCCGTCGGAGAAGGGTCCCCAAAGCTCTGCATCTCTGGACGTATCTTCCTACATATTCTTGACCATGAAGGCTGCGTCATCGACTGGAGCAGAGACGCAGGGTTGTGGGGGCCTACCCCAGACCGGGCTTGCTGTACGCGGCCCCGGACAAGTGCTGTACAAACCACTTCGTGTTCCTATTGATTTTCTGGATTACGCATACCACTTATTTTATGCACTTCGCCAAAGCAGCTCATACACTACCCCTCAAATAAATTATTCATTCATGTTTCCAACGCGGAGCTGCGCTTTTGAGTACTCCGTCACCCAAAGATACGCTTGAGGGCACACCGCTCGATTTGACCACCGAACTAATCTCTTCGGTGGGTAGGGTGGAGCTTTTTGGAAAGGTAACCAATAAGCCGTTAAGCACTAGGGCTCTATCAATGTCCTGTTTATCGGACCTTGAATGGCCCTCTTAAAGCTCACTATGCCACGTAAGTGTGTCTGTGCCCTCTCGTACGGCGTACTATCTCGCATGTCTCTCTTCTCAACGCGTTGTATCTCTTTGTCGTACCACTGCCTACCACACAAAAAAGGAGGCCCGTCATTTTCGCAATTCGTTGGTTTCTTTTGCTTTTCCTGTTCACCTGTCTTTTCCTTTTTGTCACTTCACCCTTTTTAAGGCGGAAGAACAGCAAAATTTGAATCAGGATGTGCTTTTGAAAACCCTAACTGCCAAAGGCTAACCTAACGGGGTCTTCTTGGTCCAGGTTCCAGGTTTTCCACGCGGGACGAGACGGCGACGGCACATGATACATTCCAATATCATTGGAATCGTATGATGCGAGAGCCTGAAAACATTTGAAGAGATTATTGATTGAGAAACGATCAATAACTTCAACTCACTCACCCTATTCAACCGCGAGATCAATCGTCGGTCAGGCTCATTCGCCGCTTCCAGACTTCTGCCCAACTCATTCAGCAGAATAATCTCAACCTAGAAATACCTAGATTTACTTATTCTCTGATTGGCAGCGATCAATAAAAAATCGATATCGATTCGACAGTCGAGGACCTTTGCGATAAACTCCTTGACAGCTAGTTTTTGCTCATGGATAAGCTTACTTCGACGCGAACATCGGCCTTCCAGCGCTTGTACGCACGTCCTGAAAAGGGTTCATAATTGGTCAAATAATACGGGAAAGTGGCCAGCTATGCCAGTTACGTAGCCATTCAGCTCTACAAGAAATAGGAGGAGGGCGCTGATCACAAGATACAGGACATTGCCGTGGTCAATGTATAGCACCGACCTTTGCTCGTCAAACATGTGACCAAGCCTTAGGTAGAGAAGAAGAAGCTCCAAATCACAAGCAATTGTTTAATTTCCCGATGTTACTGCCCCCTCCTGGGCTCAGCCCCATATGATGCCCCCGTATCTTGCGATAGCGCCACGAATTGTTTACCTATAAACTTCCTCCGGTCGCCAAGCATTCGATCGATGTTCCGAGTGTCCTTTCATCAAATGACATGCTCTGAAACACGACAATTTTCAGAACGTCCTCAAAGTCCATGCATGAAAACTTTGGGACTCCTTTGTCACGCCCCGCCCCCTCCCTCACGCTCGCTCTTGAGCGTAAAGCAGCCATAAGCAGTGTAAGATTAAGCACAAACTGCGCGTCGAGCCTAATAGCCCTAGGGTGCTGAACGACTAACGGGTCATCTCCGTGGGAACTTCTAAATCCCACATCTTGTTGCTGCCCAAAAAAACCTATTTCCCAGTCGAATCCCTTTTTGAGCGTCCCGGAAAGCTTCCGATGCCGTCCGCAGTGAAACTTGACAACTGTTTTCCCTCGGTGACTGGAGCTCATCTAAAGCTGTGCATTCAGGTAGAAGGCGTGCCATGTGCGCTTCCGCCCACTTCCCTTTCTCTCCCACTTCGCACGTCACTTTACTTCCAGTTTTCACCTCACCTACATAGCTATTCAAGCAGTCAATTTCAATTATTTCATCACCGTTTTTAGATATAAAAGTTGGAATTAGGTCGTGAAATTTTGGGATTCTTGGTTACTATGAGGGGGGGGGGACACTGCGGTCAACATCACGAGGTCAACATCGATTTTGTTGAACAGCAACATTTCCGCAGATCTACATAGGAAAGGCTCCCTTCCCCCCCTATTTCTTCTGCGGGGATTAGCCATCACGGGAAAGTTGATGGTTGAACCTTGGAACGGAGATGAGAAGAAAGCCCGCCAAGGTGAACGGATGCCGGATGAAGAAAAAAAAACATGAAAAACTGCCAGAACCCGAAAAATGGGACCGAGGGGAGACATCCACCGTTTTCGCCACTTATGTTTAACTGGACTTGTGGTACCAATAGAGTTTAGCTTACCCCGTGGAATCCTCTTGAGATGATGAGTAAGATATAACCACTATCATATACCTAAAGGAATCCTTCACGGAAAAATCATGATTCAATTTCAGCCATAATTCACTGGCTTGAGACCCATCATTCACGATAAGAATGAAAAGAACAGAAAATTGCATTTGTTTTGGTAAAAAATTCGAAAAACCGAAAGGGCTGCTACGCGTTAAGTTACCGCCGACATCTGTCACAAATGCTGGCGACGAATGCTTCCAATCCTTCTGGTCATTGGAGTGCCTTTAGAAACTCTTTCTGGCCTTTTGACTTATTGCATTCACATCTCACACTTCTACTCCATCCTATTCTATCGATCGATTTGTCTCTACTCTCCAAAATCGCACGCTTTAACCCGATTCTTTCATTGCGTCGCCTGATACGTAGGCGCCCCAGTGCGGACTTATTCCATGCCCCGCCTTTGGCTCCGCCCGAATTACCTTCGATTGTCCATAGAATTTTTCGTGAGTTTGTTTCTCTTCGGAAACCGAACCTTCATGCGTAAAACTTTGTGTATTGCATCTAGTGATCACAATCTGATACATTCATAATGAGAAAGAATGCAAGAATTTTCCGCGAAGGATTCCTTTAAGGTCGGAATAGAGAAATATTCCCAATATTTTACTTCTAGGGCCATTAATGGTGCATCAGCCATGTAGTGCAGTTATTAAACGTGGGTGACGTTGTTCGTCAAGATTTGGCGTAACCATGTGACGTCGAATGAGCACCTCAAAAGTAGCAGGTTTTTGTGATACGTAACTGGCAACAGAGAACGTGTAGTCTATTCGTGAATTTCGAGCTCGGCGTAGTCACTGGCCGCCCACGACTTTTGCGACTACAAACTTTTAACCTACATTTTATGCTTATTCGCGGTGGTAATGGTGCCAAAATACAGCTCTAGGATAGTGTTCTTGACGCTAGCTCACTCAAGGGATGGCAACTGTGGCACAGTCATCAACCCCCCTCCCCCATTTAAGATTCACATGTCGCATCTGGTAGGGATCCGAAATGAAGAGCTGTTTGAGCGACCTCTCTGACAGCGGCTAATTTTCTTCGCTTTGAGGGTTTCCTACACCCCAAAAACTGAAACCACTTGCAAAAACTAGAGAAACTCCCTCTTCAAGTGAGGTTGCAGAAACCCTACGGATTGCGTGGTACTGCACGGCTCAAAAGTTTTGCAACCAGAGCTATGCCTTTTCGCTACGAACCGCTGCGAATCGCTGCCATTTCTATCAATCGCAGCATACGTGGCGTCTGCGCCCTCTCGTGTACGACGTGCTCTCTCGCGTTTTCCCTCTCCTCGCAGCGCTGTGTCTCTCCGTCATACCACGGTCGACCTCACCGGGAAAATTTCAGTGTTTTCTATGGTGCTTTTTGCTTTTTCTCCCCACTACGTTCCTCTTTTGCACTTCTTGTGTAAATTGCGCAGGGAGGGGAATCAGATGTCGGCTAGCTTGCAAAATTACTAAATTCTTCCATCTTTTGCACAGTTTCGATCATTTTTAGGTTGTTTTAGTTGACTTATACTCAGCATGACTCGGGATATAAAATTTCCCGAAATGCGGCTAAAAGACCCTCCATAGGTGCGGTTAATGAAGAAGAGGAAGTTTTCGGAAGACAAGGGAAGCCAAACGGTAGCTTCTGGGAGCATATTCACTACAAAAAGGGTAAAATTGTATCTTTCCTGGGACAAGAGCGTGGGCACGAATCATGCCAAGAAGTAAGGCAGTTCTAAGTTAGTTCCTTGGTAATGTCTCGGTTAAACAAAGCCACGGCAAGCATTTGCTGCCCGCCATCGCTTTGTTTTCCCACGCGTCATTGCCTTCGCTGGGCGTTCTCTTCTTCGACCACTCTAGCAGTTTTTCGTATTTTTCTTTGAGGCTAACGTAGTGTCTAAAATTTCGTAGACCTCGTTGATCAACCTGCCCGGGAGGCTTGAAACTCAACGCTTCCTATGTTCGTCTTTGAAAACCTATCATTATTTCACCTTCTTACTCAGACCCTTGGCGCTATGTTGAGGGTTGATGTTGCCCCTGAATTTGGCCTTGGTTCCATTTTCGCTTTTTGTTCCCTCACCAGCCAGAATGACCACATTTGATTGCTTTACAAAAATCTATGTAAGAGGCTAGCTAAATGCGTTTAAGAGTAACTCCTCTCCTAACAGTCTCGCTCGCTATGGCAAGATGAGGACAGCCTCTAGGATTTAGCTTAGGGGGGGGGGCAAAAACATCGGGGAAATGAAAACTGCTCATCCATTCTGAAAACCTTCTCCCTCGCCTGAAGCTTAGTCCCTCCTTATATCAAGAAAAAGAAGGCTTGGTTTCAAGCGTATTGCCACCACAATGCACCCTTATCTTGCGATAGCGCCTTTTTTGTAACGCTGATAGGGAGCTTCCACTTTGTGACTTTGCACAACCAGAGCTACTTCCTGGAACGTTTCTCACGAACAAATGCCTTGTCTTTTCACCACCAAATGCTTGTTTTCTACAGAAAAACTCCCACAATTGTGGTTGAGTTGCCATGCCGCCGCGAAAACTCCCACGTAGCTGTTCAAAGTCCCAGTCTTCGGCTACTATTTTGAAGCAATGCCAGAATCAGGCCAAATTCAAAACCCAACCACAACGGTTCACCAGGTAGCTCTTTTCTGCGGAGTTTCCTGCACATACGGTAGCCCTCGCACCTCACAACTAGGCATTACAGCGCCCAGACAGTGGCAGCATTCGGTACGGATGGGAGATGGGTACGGGCGCGCCAAAGAACGCTGTTTTTACAGTTTTTGTCGCCCTTTCTTGTTTGTTATTCCTTGGCAATAGCAAGGAAAGCTCTGAACTGCTGAGTGACCCATGAACGGACCAGCGACGCCAAACACCCCGAGTAATTGCTACTGAAGGGCCGGGTTGACGTCTACAGCGTATACTACAATCCACTCCCCTCACAACAATCCGAGGTATTGACCGACAATGAAGTTTTTCTCCTTTCAGCATCTACCATCATTTTTATGCGTTATTTGCATTTATCTCGTGAGTTATCTGCAGAGCGATTGTTACTCGCGAACACGTATTAAAGACTAGGTGTTGACGAGGAGACACAAAATAAGTCTAGAGGATAAAGCATCCAGTGTTGATCGATCCTTTTCGTTATGCGTCACGCATTCTATTTCCATTCATAATTGCTATGACATTTGAATGCGATCTGCCTATGCAACACTTGTAGGGAGCCGCCAGAGTTTTTGTTCTTTAGGCGACCACGACCAACTTACTCGACGCAACTTCGGAATGGAGAATGATGACAGAGGACTTTCTTTTCTTCTTTTCCGCCCGCCTTAGTAACGCACAGACACACGATCCGCTGCCTTTGCGCCGCCACTTGGCTCTGTCCAGGGCATTTTTCACCGTAGCCGCGACCCCACATAGGTCCTTCTTGATTGTGTTTCTCCATCCGCTTTCTTTTGAACTCCGTTGATGGGACGTGTGGTTTGACTAGACGGCCCACTAAATGCGGTAAACGCTCTCACTTGCCATCACACTACCGCCACTCGGGGAGCAATATCGCTCAAAATCTCTGATAACTTATCAGAAAGCTATGCGAGTTCACTCATAGTAACGTCAAAGTAGTCGGCCCTCAAATCTGATGGGAGCTAGTGCTGGCCGATATAAAGGAATATTGAGTATCCCCAAAGACATTCGATGCGGGTTTTCGGGCTTGAATTGTACCATGAGCGAGGAAGTGTTTGTTTTCCTTTTCAAAAACGCGGCAGCAGTTCACTGACTCCACTAATCATCGCGGAGAGATGAGCGGAGCAACTTAATTAAAGAAAATTGAACGGGCAAAGTAAACAAAGGTAGGATAGAGCAGTACAAGCGCTGGGTATGAATGCATAATATTAGCTCCTATTTACCCACTCCTCAAATCTCCCAAGTCGTAGCAACGATGGCTGTAGCTCAGGGATTTCCGCATCCTTACCTAATTGCCCATCCTCACACGATCTAGGTCAAAGCGAAATAGTACGATAATCGCTTCCGCTTCCCTTTCGCAAAATGTGCGGATCCTAACAGATATTCGGGTACCTAGAGGTGATCATCAACGAATTGACGACCATGTGCATAACGGGTTATGCACTCGCGCGATTCCATGGATACCCTATGCGACATGCGCAAAAATTGGCGCGCAAATCAAAATCGTGGTAAACGCATTAGTGAGATTGCCGACCAGGATGTCTGGTAGGACTTACAGAGGAAGAATCACCTATAAGGTCTTGACAAACAATCATACCGACCACGATACCGAGATCTCCTCAGCTGGTGTAACCCAATCAATACGACTTTTGTGACTTTCGAGAAATAGCGCTCAACAACGCGCCACTTCTTGAGAACGCCCTCAATTATGCATGGTAAGCCAAACAAAAAGTGCAAATCGGAACAAAAACTCCGCTGCGAAATACTTCACGGCTATCTTCACCGGCCAGAAATAGAGATTATTAAGAGAGCACGCTTGCTGCAGCTGCGCTACCGTGTTGTCAACCCGAAAACCTTCAACAGAATTCAGAAATGAGGTCTGCAAATTTCCAGCCTGAGAAACAATGGAAGCTACGTTCAGAAAAAAGCCTGGAATTCCGCTTCACGCCTCGAATGGCCCTAGGTTTTTGAATCAGTGGCGTACCCAGATAAGGTAGCGGCTTTTGGGCGTGCCTTCGCTGACCACTTACTTATACCCTCTCGGGACAATCCCGAAGGGGACTTCCCATTCTCATCCACTGTTTCCTTACCAGCCCTTAACCATTATTCATGTCGGAATTTAATACCTTCCAAAAGTCCGCCTGTAAGCGCGATTGGAGGGTCCAAGAAAGAAAAATAAAGGGCCCGATGCACTGACCGAACAGCAATCTTTAATGCATAACCTGTCTCTCTCTCTATGATATCTTGAAAGTCCCCTTGTCGTTGTTTTGTTTATCCTCCACCCAAAGAGTTATAAGAGGCAAAATAGAAAGGCTTCTCGGGAGCTTTATAGGGTGCCCAGGCGGCTGGCCACAGGCCAATGCTCGAAAATCTGACGGAAATCCATCGAAAATTGTGGCTTCATATCATGGAATTAAGCTTAGTGAACTTTCTCTGTTGACTAGCGTGTATTGACGGGTTTCAATTTTTGAAGTGTGAATTAATTTTCCATACTAGTTTGCACTTTTTCAAATGTGGTGAAAAGTGTACTTTAACGGTCACTTCTCACGAACTTTCATTCATTTATTGATGCCATATGAGTCATAAGCTAGTCTACTCAAAGAGAGAGAGACAAGCGCACATGACGGCAATTTTTTTTACTGGCCAAGGGGATCTCGGCAAGATGAAGAAAAATACTATGAAATTTTTGAAAAACTTAAAGGCAGTGAATCCGATGAAGTGGACTTGCACCAGGTAAATGTATAAACTCCATGGATCCTACAGCCAGGTAGAAAAGGAAGCAGATGTGGTGGTTTTCCGTCGAAGATGCGCGCGCCAGTTGCGAGTGCAGCAGGACCGGTCCGCTCCCACAAACCGTCCCACCCCCCACCCCAACATGGTCCAGCGGCCAACTGCGATACCTTAAATCTCAGGCATTTGAAGCAGATTTCACATCTAAGGCAAAACTCGTCCGAGGTCGTGAGACAGAAGGGAGGCCTCAGTCCTTGGGTTTCCAAAGATTTGACCTTCTAAAACCCGAAGAAACGAGCCTATGCCAGATACTCTTCTTTGCCAACACCAACTGTCGCCTTTGCTCTCATATTTGATCACCATCAGATTATCGCGGCCGCTGCCTTTAAGTAAGTGGCGCAGATATGGAAAAGATTCCATTTTGAGAGAAGCCTGGGAGTACCTAAAGGGGCTACTGGTTGACATCGCTACCGTTTCCGTGGAAGTACGGTAAGATCACGTGCTCAAATCCTATGCTAACTTCAAATCCTGGACAAATTTACAAAATAAAGATCCCCGGAGCGAAACAGACCACACGAACTCCCAGGTATTCCCTCGTAGCTCTTGCCTGGTAGCACGTCCGCTTCACAGGCTCCAATCTGTGAGCTTTTCCAGAATCAATGTAGTAGTGCAAGTGGCTATGCAAAAGGCTGGAAGAAAGGACTGGACGGCACTCGTCACCTTCGCCGCCAGCACGCACACCCCATTGTGCCTTTGTGGCTTCGCACCTCTGTCTGAAGCACAGCTCAACACAAACGAGTTCTCAGAAAGCTTGCTTTTTCAAATTGGAGCTGCAGGATACGATTAGCAGCTAAGTCTGAGAAATACTTGTTATTGATTGTTGCCCCGCTGGGGTAATCGGTAGAAGCTGCTCGGGAAGCGGTAGGTGTGGGTTCGATTCCCGTCTGGGTCGAAGAGTTTTGCCCATGAGCCAGTCTCTTGTGATAATTTGAGAAATCCACCCGGCGCTCTCGCACGATACGTCTCGCTGATCGAATCAAGTGGGATCGGGACACCACGGTGGCTGCTGTTTGACTTCAACAGCCATGTCAACATCGGTCGGTGGCAGTTCCGCCTCCTTCTATCCGCTACTTCCCCCGTGGCGTTCGAAATGCACGAGTTGTTCAATTTTGAAAGGGTTTCTCTGAAAGACTTTCTTATTCAAGACGGCTGTCTGTCTCTGAACAACCACTTCTCTCGCTTGAAGCACGACATGTCCTTCTAAGTGTTGGTCTCGCCGCGTCTGCTCGCCTTTTCGTGACTTGCTCACTGCTCACTGAAGATCTTTTGCTAACTCATAGTATTGACTCGGTTTTGAACACACTGCTGCGTCCCGGTACCGGGATTCGGTCCCAAATTTAGCTTAGCGAAGGGTAAAAGAAAGGGGTTGTGGGAGGTGGACGTAGAAGTGCTGGGAATCGGGCAAAGGTCGCGGCAGCACTTTTATGAGGACACGGTAAGCAGAATGGCAAGTTTCGGGGGTTAATCAAAAGCGAAAATGAGACCATACCGCCAGTTCCCCTTTGCCTGAATTATGAGCAACGTGGCCCGTCCGGTCCGCTTTTATTCTTGCGTTTTCCGCTTTCAATAGCACCTATAAAAACTTGAAGGCCTATGTCAGACTTTGCGAATCGAGCGATTCGCTAGCGTCTGCGGTCGCGTCGCGGCCAGTGAATCGCTCAATTGGCTGGTACCGCAACGCGACCGCGGACGCTAGCGAATCGCGCGATTCGCAAAGTCTGACATCGGCCAAAGCGACGCCGCCGTCTGGGTGGCAATTATCTTTGTCTTAATGGCTTTCTGAATTTCCTTTCGTGAGCAGCCCGAAATGTGGTGTTCGTACACTTTCACGCTCCCCCCCCCCCTTCCCTCTCCCCCCCCCCGGCAACGTCAATACAGACGAAAGGCAATCATTCTAGAACTGTATATCAATTCACGGAGCCTGTAGTTCCCTCTTGGCCTGCTCAGGAATACCCATCTGGTGCTGATGCTAAAGACCTGGCCTCAAGCGGTGTAGGAGAACGGGAGTGGTTATGCTGCAAGCTGCTAATGCCCATTTCTTATTAAATTTTTTTTACTGCAATTTTTTTCGGATTCCATTAGTTCGTAACTTTCGCCTTTGCACTTTCATTTTATCTATGACACAGCGATTAAGAGTAATTTAAAGTGATTACATAATTGAACGTCTTCGTTCCTCGTTTTTGAATTACATCCCTCGAACGTCACTTTTTGCCCTCTTAGGAAATAGTTCTGAATAATAAGGGTAAAGAAGCGAAATCGCGATGTTACTTTCAAAGGAGAAGAAATGCAGATCGCCTAGAATTTTTGACTTTTGTGAGAGATTCCACCCAATTTTTTGGGGTTGATTCTTCCAAAATCCAACGGCAAACGGCAGCATTTTGAAACAATGAGCTCACAAACTTATGTGCTCGCTGCATTCACAAAGCATCGGTTCGTGGCCAGTCAAAGATGTGTTCATGTGAGGCTGAGTGCTTCCCAAATTAGGAATATCCTTTGCATTACGTTGCGTATCCAAAAGGCACGCAAAAGTTAGCTCGTGTCTGTGAGTGACACCTTCTTCGTGACACTTCCTCAATTTTGATAGTCATAATATTATTCTGAAGTGTTTGTTGTTCAAACCATCCCATATTGATACGAGCTTTTATTGGGCCAACGCTTTGGCAATATTTACTTTCTTCGACACCTACAAAATTGATAGGTTTAATGACAAATCGTCCTGAGAACAATTACCGCCAGAGGAAGTTGACCTTGTCGGTGTGCAAGCGTTTCATGAACCCAAGCTTGAACCAGGGTGGTGGAGGGTCAACCGCCGCGGTCATGCAGTTTATCCACAAGGGCGCTCGTATAACGTTTTTTGGAGGGATGGGTCGTAATTTTGGATTGTGAAGGTCAAACGGTTAAATGAAAGAGAGTTGTATTTCCAGAAGTTGGAGTGATTATGTGTGCCTGTCAGAATCTTAGGAAGCAAAGTTACTGTAGAAACAGTCATGAAAGGTTATTGGGTAGTCTCCTAAGGCCCATTTGGTGGTGCTGGGGTAGTATCTGGATCTCTTAAAGAAAAGTGGACGTGAAATTCTTGAAATCTGCGTAAAGTGTGGTTGACCCTAGCGGTGGAACGGTTTGGGTTACAGAACCCAGCGCCTGTTGTTTCAACAGCATTTGTCAAAGTAGAAGAGTTATTTCTAGGGCGCAATCCAGTTCTGCAGGTATATCGATTACTGCACCATTGTTTGCTCCCACGAACCTCCGCAGACAGTCTAATAGATTCATAGTCTCTACGCCACTGTGCACTTTTTGAGTGGTCCGCCTTCTGAGAAAAGGTGAGGACTGTATGTCCTGCATAGCCCTTTGCCCTGAAATAAAGGTACACCTAGATGGACTTAAACTTCCTTACTATCTACTCCTCTAGGTCACACGATCAGAACCTATGAAATAATCGTGAAAAAACTGCATAACCCTAGTCGCCAGAGGGTCATTTTAAGCGACATGGAAGCTTCATGGATGATGTTTTGAAATCCTAAGATGAATAGAAAGAACAGGTTACTATAGACAAGATAACGAGGCATTGAGGAGAAGGAGGAAGAGAGGAAGGGAGGAAGGGGGGGGGGTAGCGAGTCGAAGCCTCGAATTGACAACTAAGATGCATGGCGATCGGACGGTCCTACTGCATATTGATGTATTCTATCAGACCCGGAAGATGCCACCAAAGCTATTTAACCCTTACCTCTAGGTTTCTAGCAAGTACTTAACTAGAAGCCCTACCACTGGTTAGGCTGCTTACCAGAGGTCCGCCTTAGCAAAATATACAGTCTCCGAGAAATTTGCTTGCTTTTCCCTGCAAAATTATTCCCTGAACCCGTGGTAACCCTTGATTTTTCTCACTATCATAGAAATGATATTTGGGCCGGTTGTTCTAGCAATGTAACTTGGCCCAAGGTCCATAGGGAGCAATTACTAATGCAGCATTGACGCATTTGCTGTAATGAACAAAACCATAATTTCATATTTGCCTGCTCTCTTGAACCGACTTTATATCAGTTACGGTAAAGCATATTTACCTCATTCTGGGCACCTCACCCACTCTGAGCGGCCCCGAGCTCTCAACTATGAACCGAAAGTTTTAAATTTAATTTTGAAGACATTGGCAGCCACATCTCAGCGCATGTTCACAGCTCAATATAGAGATTTTCCGCCGGTCGTTGGTCGATTCAATCAGATCTCAAACCACTTCCTCTTCTATCCTTTACACCGAAACTTTCAACAGCGCGTGGGTACTTCTCGGATTTCTCTCTCCCGAGCCGCCAGAAATGACAGGCCAAGAGAAACTTCACTTCAATCCCGTGCCGGGTGGGATGATGGTCTAAAATTATAGATTTAATCGCATTATCGAGCCTTGGCTTCACTTCAACAACCATTTTACCCCAGTTATTTGTTGAAGCCCATGAAACAAATACGAAGTTATTACCCCAGTTATTTGTTAATGTCATGAACAATACCCGCGCATTCCATTTTTCCTCACTTTTATCCCACAAATGACGTCATCACGATCCACCGTACCCGACGTTGTTCGTTTGTTTGCGGCTTGTCGTTGCTATCCGCCGAGCCGCGGCCTCTACTCGACCAGTGGCTGGATCCACGCTCAAATAACATCTACTTTCGACGGCACACAGAAATCTATTTTCCTCGCCATTGTTTCTCTGCTCTTGGTATAAACCCTCGATTCGGCCCCCTTGTTGTTTTATTGAACAAACTTTCTCTACTTATCCCATTAGTCTCCATTCACGGACCTACCACTTATGGTATGTTTCAATGCTCCCACGTCCGCATTTGGTTCGGTAACCTTCAGGGGTCGAAACTCGATGTGAGTTGGCACCCTTTCAGAAGCTGTGGGCAATTGCTACCATCGAAAAATAAGAAAATCCTAGAAAGTCGTTTTCCATGAAACCACCGTCGTATTTCACGAGATCTCTGCGCGATAAACGTGAAATATACGGATTGTAAAGCTGTCGCTTCACTTTGTGCTATTATTTGTTCTCCCTGCATAATAAGACATTCCCTCTGAGGTTTCTCTTTGACTTTCGCTAAACATGGCTTCTCCTACATAGCAGATAGCCTCTCTCGCCTTCGCTTTTCTCATGTTTCTTTCTAAGAACGTTCAGTTTTCGTGAACAATTATGTTTAAGTGCCACATTTGTATGCCTTAGCGCACTGCTTTTTTTCAATTTCATTTTCTCACTTTCCGCTTAGGAAGGAAATTGGGACCCTTTATGCCGTTGTGCGTTCCGATGTTTGATCCTAAACCATCCCTTCCATCCTCGCGGCCAAACTTCCCTTCCATCTCTTCGAAATAACTGTTGCCTGAATGGGAACCAAAACGTGCACTAGTAGACTCTGGCAAGCCAGTATGAACATGAAATCCCACCCAAGCAAGTCAGTACGATTCTAAATGCAAGTAGAATGCGTGGCGCACCCTAAAAACCTGAATAATCGTTGCTAAACCCTTAATTGTATATGTTTTATTCTATTTGAAAACCTCCGCCCTCGCTTGCTACTCGAATAAACCTGCGTCACAGGATAGGGAGCAAAGGCGAGTAAATCAATAAAAAACGAAGAATCTCTGCCAATCAGGCTAATTTCAACAAAATCGAAACAGGAGCTACCGTACATGAAACCAGAGGCTTACCTTCCATGTAATGCGCCCTAATAAGGCGGGGCTTGAAAAAACACCTAGCACGTCGAGCTCGTGAATCAGTCAGCACCTGAGCCTTAAGCGATAGCATCCTTACGGTATTCCTAGGCACCACGACTTAAACCTCCCAGCCTTTAACCGTTCCCATTTGATTCTTGCACATGCAGATTTGCCACCATTTTGTGCCCCCCCCGGTTCGCTCGAGGTCGCTTTATTCACCTTTGTGGCCTCAGCTTCACTTCCCAAGCTCGAACAGCCAGGGCGACGAATTCCGCACAACACTCGCTTCGTCTCCCTAGCGTTAGTCCCGCGCAGTCGCAGGGTCCGCTACACTTCCGGGTGACGTCCTAGCTTTATCACTGATTCCTTTTTCGACTTTAGACATATTTGTGTGACTGGGGTCTTCATCAGCCGGCCTGTCAACCTGGGCCTGACGCTGGTACTAGAACCATTTTTGCAATTTTTGCAAGGCATGGTTAGCCTCGGCAGGGATCGAACTCGCGGTTTTCAGAGGTGCAGACATGAGTCTAACCTCTTAACCACTCGGCTATCCCTGCCTTTCCGCACTACATTCGCGTTTGACACGAAATCGCTGTCACGGAAGTTCAAACTTAGTACCACATGCAAACGCAAAGGGAGGAGGGGGGGGGCATTCCGGCGGCCCTCAAACAGTGGAAAACAGAAAAGAATTATAAATCTTATTCCGAAAATCAAACCAGGAAATGCACTTCCGAAGCCGATTTCAACCTGCGCGAGTAACGACAAATGAGACAAGAAAGGCGCTATCGCAAGATAGGGGGCATTGTGGTGGCAGTGGATTATAAATCGTGTAAAAAATCTCCTTCTTTGTTCGAAATCGGACTCAGCCTTAGGCAGGTATTAGATACTCCAGAATGCATGAGCAATTTTCATTTTCCCCTAAGGTTCTGCCCCTTCCTTGGCTTGGTCCTTAAGGATGCCCCCGCATATTGCGATAGCGCCAAAGGAGTAAGGTGTTGAAGAACCACAGAGCATTCTCCCTCATTCGGGCATTCACTGCGATTCTTGCGAGCTCAAAGTCCAATTGAGGTATTTATAGCGCTCGCCCGTGAGAAAGCGCTAATTTCGCATATGAATGACAACTCCTGTTGTCGGGGTGGGCAGAACAGGGGTATCTTCACAAACACTAATTATCAGCTACCCCGCATTCTTCAAAGCCTGACAATCAGTACCTTCAAAGCCGTGCAATTTCTATGAAAAGGCTTTCTTTGTTTTCTTAAGCGCTGTTTTGCCGGGGGACATACCCGGTCTTCCAAGGCACCTACCCAGTCCAAGGTGAAGCTCAGAAAAGCGCTTGTGAGCCTTCTCCACCGTCCGAGCTCAACTAAAGAAGTAAGCGCGAGGTGTCGGATGTGTCGGCGACACATTCTTCGGGAGCGTAATTAAACGGACAAATTGACACCCGGAGGGCGTTTAGTGACGGCGGGAGTGGGTAGGACATCTACGGACTTTACACATCGCCAGCACTCCTCAGCATCCAATGAATCAGTGTTTCTAACTCGCTTAAGTCGTTGAACGTTGGGCTTCTATTGTGAGTGTCGCTGTCGGACTAGGCGACATGACTCGCCACAGCCTCGTTCGAGCCGTTTTACCACACTTGGAACTCTCGTCACGTTCCCGGCACGGCTTCTTTGTCTTCCACCCTTCTGTTTCTCAGCGCTTCTCATTTCTCTTAAGTGCAAAACTGCAGCAGCAGCACCTCAGCTATTCGTTAACGACGTGCCGTTTTCCCGCTGGCAACATTTCTCGGAGGTGAATATTCAGCTTTTCAGACCGCCGTAACAAATGCAGTTCGTGGCGATTTTCGCAACCACGGCGATGGTCGTACTCGCCGGGTCGTCCCACGTCGCCCGGCGGTCCACCGGTGGCACCCAGGAGCAGGAGATCCTTCACGAACTGCTCTCCAATTACGACATGCGTGTTCGACCTCCACCCACTAACTATTCAGGTAAGGAGCTATTTAGCTTTGAGTTTTATTAGCCTTCTTAACCTTCTTCTAGGCAGTTCTCGTACTTTTAAACATCACCTTCACTGAAGTTTCCCCAGGTT